TTCTAGCTTCATGCATTCTTTTTTTAAACACTTGAATGTGGATAAGTTTCATAAAAAAATAAAATAAAAAAAAGAAAGAAAGAAATAAATAAACAACATTTTGAACAAAAAGCTGAAAAAAGACTATGAATTAGATTCAGAATGATAATCAAAACGTAGATAGAGTCGATCTACTCCCCAAAGCTTGACAGTCATTACCTCTTCATGGGATGACATTTTATTCCATAACGTTACACAGTTTTGATGCTGTTTTATGTCTGAAGATCGTGCTAGATTACATGTGGAAGCATCTGTTGTTTCGGTTTCTTCTTCGCTCGTGGTTTGGATATTCTGTACAGAAGATGTGTAATAGCGCCCTCTACAGTATAACAATGAAAACATGGATCCCGGAGCACAAGTATAGCTCAAATATATGTAGACTTTTTCTAAGTATAAGTCAAGTATACTTAAATGTCATTTTAAGTACATTTCTGAGAAGTACATAAAATGTAGACTGAAAGTATACTTTCCTATTTTTAGTTTTAAAGAAGTATACTAATAGCACACTTGAACGAACTTCTTTTTCGTTAGGGAAGACACATTGAGGCAGGATTGATGTCAGTATTATTAAACACTGTCATTGGTTCTTGCCTGTCTCATGACTGCCTGTCATTAATATCAAAAATGATCGGTGAATAACTTAAATTTGAACCTGTACCTCACACAAAGCTGTCACATGACTTGGAATAAAGTGTATGAACCATATGGACCACTTTTTTGATACTTTTATGGCGCTTCTTGGACCTTGACCGCTCCATCTCTTTCCACTGTGTGGAAAATAGGGAAATTCTGTCTAATCTCCATTTGTGTTTCACAGAAAGTCATTTGGGTTTGGACCAACCTCAGGATGAGTAAATGATGACAGAAGTTTTATTTTTGGCCAAACTATTCCTGTCATTTTCAACTCTCTTTCTAGTTGGCTGCAGCTAGCAGGACGCTTCTCTCTACCCAGATGCTTCAGATGTTTTTTATCAGTGCTGAGTGTTTATATGTGACTGACAAGCCGTGTCCTGTGTCCGACGGGCTCCTTCAGCCCAGAGAGAGGAAAGGAGGGAACCAAAGACCAAGTGAAAGGAAAAAGTGAGGTTAAACTAGGTCAACTATAGGAGTATTTTGACCACTATACCAATGTTTCTATTAGCACCTTGTGGCTTTCAAATTAGCTTGAATTATATACTTCATACACCAATGCAGGCTTTGAAAAATGTGGTCTTCATTACTGACAGATATATAATATATGCAGCTGAAGGGCCCTCAGATATGTTTGTTCCAGCAGGAAAAAAAGAGGAGAAGGCAACTCATACCACACTGCACCCACATCAATTACAGAAACATTATCTCACCCCCTCACAGGTAAATTTTTTGACTTTACGGGGCATTCTTGCAGATTCGTGCCGCTTCAAGGGTTGTAAGACAATGACATCACCCACTGTCATCCCTCCAGCCGCCCACACACAGTTGTCATCTCTGTGTGAACATGACTCCATGGGTTTGAGGGGCCGCTCAATCCTCCATGTCTACTATGTCTGACTTTATGTCTCCAGTTCAGGCCAACCACATCAAAACCGAAAGCCCAAATGACTTTTGTCTACTGAACACCAATCATATCTGAGCATGTCGGCCCACATACATCCAAGCATACACAGTATGACACAGTATGAAATACACTTCACAGTATGACACAGTATGAAAACTACCTTAAATGAGTAACTTAAATATTTACCACAGAAAACAATTTGACTCATACCTCAGTTTAAAAAGAAAACTTTACAGCAGTGTTATGTTATGTACTATTACAGTATTTATTAATATTTTTAATTAGCTTTTATGTTTTTATTGTAATTTTATGGATAGCTGGCCAATCAGAGCACACCTCACTTTTCAGAACGATGAGCTTTGTAAAAATCGACGCATTTCAGAAAGGCGGGGCATAGAGGAGAAACAATAATGTACAGTATGTGGAAAATAATGTGTAATTTCATTACACCAAATACACAAAATAATGTTCTTTTTAGCAACATCAATTTAATTTGTTTAATGTTTTGTCATTTTTAGTATACATATCAGAACTGTTGCATATTTTATAGTAGTGTTAGTATTATTTATATACTATTGCAGAATTTATTTTGAATTTGCTTTATTGTTTATATTTTCAGTTTTCATTTGAATTTTAGTTAATGTTTTAGTAATGTTATGTGCTTTTGTAATTTTTACAATTTTTATATATATTTCTATATACTTTGACGGAATATAAGAAACTTCACTTTTTAAACTCAAGTATGGAGCCCTAAACATGACATGTGGGGGAAAAAATAGATATTTTGGCCACAATTTAGCTAAAAACACGATTTAGCTAAAACAAGGGGTAGATTTCTTACAAATTATATTCTGTTACTGAATACAGATTACATGATGAAAACTGTAATCTACTTTTTAGATTACTTTTGGATTACTTTTTTATCTAACACTTATTATTAAATATTGATATTTTTAAAAATGCAAAGAGAAAATATATTCCATTATTTGATGTCAACATCATGAAGTGCATTAAACACATTATTCCAGGGTTTCCCAAACTGGGCTTTTTTTGGAAGAACTGCAGCAGGTTTTTAAGTTAATAAAAAGCCACTCTAATTGCTTGAGAAGTGTTTTTTTCCTCCAAATTCAAAAGCATGGATCGCAGAATTATTTACATGACGTTTACATGACAGTTCTATATTGTGAATATAGTCAAAGCTAAATGGTATGACACACAGTAGGATTTCTGCAAAGGAAACTTTAAGAGGGAAAAATGGGGAGAATCAATTAATTATTACTCATTTACTGCCCTTGTGTAAATAATATGTAATCATGTAATCCATAAAAAGTAACTGTAATCTGATTCTGAGCGTTTTAAAATATAATATAATACAATTACGAATAATACATTTTTGGAATTGTATTACGTAATCCAGATTACATGTAATCAGTGACTATCCACAGCACTGACAAGAAAACAAATTAGTACAACATTAACTAAAATCAAAGTACGAATTAGTACAATAAGGCCACAATTTAACTAAAATGAGGGAACAAATGAATACATTGTGGGAACAAACTCTTAATCCGTGCCCCCAATATGTTGTTGTTGTTGTTTTTTTCCCAGCATGTCATGTATTGGGCTCTACTTAAGGAGTACAGCATTTTTAGTGGTCACAGATGTTGTAGATAGAGAATGCCACAGATACTTTCAATAGAGCTTAAGTTGCATTCAGCCTGGAATATCCTTTTAAGCGTGCCCTCCCCCTACAGCTAGCTTCCCCCACCAAAATCCCACAGCTTTGAGCCTCCAAATCAGCAGAGGAAGTGCATCGTTACTCTAGCAAGACTGGTTGGCGTCAGCGCGGGTCACAAGGGCTTTGTGGATTCAGCTTCCTAGAGAAAGGGTGAGCTGCGGAGGAGGTCTACAAAACCTAAAACCTCAAAACTCTGGCCACATTGGAAGCACAGATTGTTGGCATTTCCCACATTCATTAAATTTCCCCTCGGGGAGGCATATCTATCTGTTTAACAGATTGAGGTTCTGGAGCTAAGAGCTGGATCCACTGGTCTTAATGGTGCGGACTGGTCCATTTCTCTGGTGCTCCTCTAAGTCTTCTGCCTCTCTTTTGGTCTTTTTCCACCTGCAGTGTCTCAGACGCGAACATTTGTTGGCCATGTGTCAGCTAAACTGGGTTAGTGTTGTATTAGCGTTAGGCTAAGCAGAAAAAATGTGTGCAGGTGTTCTGACCATCACTCAAAATATCTGACTGCGTCTAGACAGGGACGCTTTATATTTATTGCACCGTATCTATTCAGAGACCCTTGGATGTAAATTCATGCATTCAAGGAATAATTCACATTTCTTTTTTTCAACAATCTTTCAAAATTCCACTAGCTTGCGTTTATTTCAGAATGTTTAAGAAGGACATAGTTCGCAACAAAATGGGTAAGAATCAACCATATTTGATGTTAAACGTGGAGTGATGTAGTCTGTTTGAATGTGCCCAAGCATGAATGATATGAAAGAAAGATTTTACCAAATATTAGCCTGTTTGTCTCATAAAACTTTCAATGCACTTCTGAATATGTGTACAAAATGCTTAGACTACTAGAGTATGTTTTCTAGTTATTTACATTAAATGTAAATGGGCAGTGAGAACATTCTCCAAAACCATCTCATTTTGTTTATCATAAAAGATATAAAGTTACACTTGTTTGTAATGACATGATGTTAGGTAAATGCATACAAAATATTAATTTATGAGTGAGCTATTCCTTTAACACATCCCACCTTCATAAAAAAAGACACTTTTCTGTTAAACAAAGAACATAAATTACTTTATTGGAAAAAACAGCAAGTGGAAATACACCAAAACAAAACAAAAGATTGCATAGCATTTGGTTTGTGTTATACATCCAACATATAAACAGTATGTGGACAGGCAGCTTCATATATCATTGTGGCTTTGGAAAAAATATGTCCAAACACGACCAGATGAAACAGGCTTCATGGAAGACCTTTCTCGAATCTGCAAATTCCGTTTCAGTTCAGATGGAGTAAACTTTGCACATAAACAACATCTAAAATCGAATGACCTTCTTTTTGTGTTGTTGAAACCTTATTCAGTCTTTAATAACAACATTCAGGAGATGCCAAATGATGTAATACCTCGAAGCTCGGATTACAGAGATAAATTCCAGAGTCTAATTGAACTTCTTATTAAAACAGGTCTTTGGTGTGCTTTTCAGCCATCAGCCTAGAGACACAGCCAATCCATTTGTCGACAGGCCTGCGCTGCAACAGCTGTCCCAATACATCCCCGCACGTCTGTGGAGATCTTGGTGAGAGATGACCTCTCACCACTCACGCTTTATAGCAGCTGCCCCCTCACAGTGCCGGACCAGCCGGCACCGAGGTGCATCCTGGGAATCCACGAGAGCCAGTCTGTGGGCCCCCTTCCCACGACAAAAATCTGCAGTCTACATTTAACAGGCCGTTACTGTAGACAAGGTGTGTGTGAACGTGTGTAAGACTAACACTGGAAGAAAAATAGCATCTCTCCTTTGGCTTGTGGAAGCAAAGATAAGGCACTTTGTGCTTCAAAAACGGCATCAGTACATTCTCTATGAGTCCAAACATTCACTTATGGCTTAAACCCGTCCCAGCTCAATGCCGAGAGATGGCAAGCATCTGTCTTGTCCTCTAGGCAGACAGACAGCAGCCGGAGAGGGTGTGTTTGTGCAGGAGGGACATGCGGCTGAAGGTACGAGAGCACGTTCCACACTGATACTTCTTCACTTCGGAGTGGGTCTGCAGGTGAGCGCGCAGGTTCGAGCGGTCCGCAAAAGCACGGTTACAGTGGGGGCATGAGAAAGGACGTTCACCTTAAAAAAAGAGAGATCATTTTGTTTTTAGTACACACACATATATATAACCTCTACAGTTTAACTCTAAATGCAATTCAGGCAATATAGACAACAAGATTCTGCAAGAAAAGGTGAACCTTCAAACCTCATGCCACTCTGATAGGTTGTTTTTTTTAGGTAGGGTTTAGCTAGGTATTTGCTTAAAAGAGTCCATCCCTAGGTTTCTATAAAATCCTTGTCTCTAGAAACGTTTAGGGAGTCTTTTTGGGAGTCCTTTATGCAGATAGTCAAGGTTTTACTTGGTTAGCCCCTGCTGATAGATGTGCCAGCCAAGCAACTGTCATTGACAAGAATGGGAATGTTATTTCTACAGATATTATAGACCTTGTCAGCTTTAAAGGTAATTTCGCCACATTCCTCACATTTATCCTTTTAGTATCGTGCAGAAGTTACCAAGTTCAGCACATTTAAAAGACTGAAAGACTGAATATAACAAATGTACCATTTTAACTCAAGTACAGAGCCCCACATGACGTGAAAGAAAAAAAAAAGATATAAGAACTTGTGCTTTTTGATGTATTAATTCATTTCTTGGTTTTGGTTAAATTGTGTCCATGTTATACTAATTTGTTCCCTCGTTTTAGTTAGATTGCAACCAAGTTGTACTAATCCATACCCTTGTTTTAATTGTGCCTAGAATTTAACTTAAACAAGGGAACAAATTAATAATCAATTAATCTCCATATATATACTTTTGGGGATTTTATCACCAGTTTTATTGTCTGCCAAATGGAAATGCTAAATCCGTTGGCTTGGAAAAGTACTAGCACACCTCTTCTTGATAAACTGCATAATTTGGGGCTTGGTGATGAGATAGTACAAGATTTATCATTTGTGTCCATGCCACAAACAGTCCAGGATGAGATACATACCTAACTTTAATACTTCAAAGTTTGCTGGTCAGTTGCTGGTCCCCATTGACTTCCATAGTATGGAAAAAAAACACTATGCAAGTCAATGGCGACCATTGAACTGAAGATGAACTATCCCTTTTAAGGGTTGACTTTGCATGCACCACTAACAGCCTCAATGCATCAGCTCACTCACCGGTATGTGTACGGATGTGTCCTCGCAGTAACCAGGGTCTGGAGAAGGCCTTTCCACACGTGGTGCACACACAGGGGAGCGTGTGCGAGCGGATGTGCATCTTGAGCGCACCCAGACTGTTGTACTCTTTGGGACAGTGCTTGCAGTGGAAGGCGGCTCTGGTGCTTGTGCTGGCGGCTCCTGCAGCGGTAATGACAGTCTGCGGGCTGGCGGTGCAGTGCGTGAGCTGATGGCGAGAAAGCGCGGCCGGGCTGCTGCAGGTCTTGCCGCAGTGGGCGCACTGGAAGCGGTCCGTGGGGTCTGGGCTGGGGGGATCAGATGTACGGCAGTCGTCCTCCTCTCCGCTGCTGCTGGAGCTGGACTGAGAGCTCAGGTCCAGAGGCCCAGGAGGAGAGGGGATGCTGGGTGACTCCGCTGTGAAGGAAAGGGGTAAGGCACTGGCGGTCCACACGAGCATGGAGGGATAGTTGGGCACCACAGAATCGCCTTCTCTGGTGGGGAAGTCATCCAGAGGGAAGCATTGTGGGAAGACAGCATAGCGCTGGTCTGCGGAGAGAAAAGATGGTTGCTGGACTACATGATATGTTTCAGATTGTTTGAGGTAATACTTTTACGTTTGAGGTACCACACTTTATAGATGATGCATAAATCTCAATTTCACAAAATTGACTCTTATGACTGGTTTTGTGCTCCAGAGTCACATTTGGTTAATAACTACCAAATATCTACTTCATACTCCAAATAGGGAGCTATGACTCACTTTTTGAGATATCTTAATCAAATTAAATTACTGTGAAATACTACAGCTGAAGCATTTTAGCAGTTAGTTCAATTACATACTGCAGTTTGTGTAGACGGCATAGTGAAAAAGTACAAAAAAAAAATCACTAATCTATTTTAGAGTAGCCTAATATGATAAAAACTAAATAACAAAGGCCTGGTTTCACAGACAGGGCTTAGCCTAAACCAGGATTAAGCCATAGTTCAATTAGGACATTTAAGTAATTTTTATAAACGTGCCTTAGAAAAAAAAAACATTACTGGTGAGCATCTTGAGGCAAAACAAAGGCACTGATATATTTTAAGATCAGTCAGTACAAGTTTCTTTCAGTTGAAACAGCTCAGACTTACATTTTAGTCTAGGACTAGGCTCAAGCCTTGTCTGTGAAACTGGGGGTACAAGTAATAAGTTTTGGAAATATGAAAATGCTTTAAAAAAAAATAACAATAAAAAGTATGGAAAAGGTTATGTCAACATTTGTGGTGCAGGACGTTATGACAACTTTAGGTGGCTGAAATTTTGGCTCACTAAATTGTGACTAATCATAAGCGGTTTAATTTGACATAGGCCTACTACTGATATTGTATACAATAACAAACATAAACAAATACCTCTTGGCACACTCACCAGTCTGACTCTCCAGTTCACTGTAGTTTGGCTTCTTGTTGGAGAAATATTTCTTGACAAGAAATGAACGTGGCATTTTGTAAAGATCCTCCCCAAACTCCAGCGAAGGTTTTAGATGAACTCTAGATTGAGTCTCTGGAGAAGCTGCAGCGCGAGTCCCTCCAGAATCACGGTCTGCTTCAGATGTCTAGTAATCTTTGCGCTCGGCGCGGATGGAAAGGTTTCTGACAGTCGCACATGAACTACTGCCATTCAGCTCCGACGGGTCTCTTCATATGAGGCTGGGCTGGATGCGGGGGCGGGGCTTGTGCTCTGTCCACGCCCCCTGGAACACCCACTGACTGGCCCCGCCTCCTGCAGGTGCCCGCGGGAAACACACCACAGCATGCAGCTTACATCCTCCTTACACGAGTTATATTCAGGCTATTAAACTAAAAAAAAAAAGGTTCAGATTCTAGATTGGATAAGGAGATCTGATTGAATGACCCACTGTAATGAGATGCGTTGCTCGGCAGCGTTCATAAAAGGTTGGTGGTTGTGGAAGTATTGTTGTTTGATTATTATAAATGCATTTGTAAAACTGATCCTTGGACAGCTGAATTTTATTACTTTGTAAATTACTGTGGTTACATATCAGTTTAAATACACAGAAATAAACTGAAATAGCCTAAATATAAAGAAAAGCATAGCGCAAAAATACACTAAAGTCTCTCTCTCTCTCTCTCTCTCTATATATATATATATATATATATATATCGTATTTGATAAACGTAAAACACATGTGAAAACTTTCCCCGTCTTGCCATTTATGAACAACAGTTACCCTTGTCCTCTGAACACAGTTTAACCTTAAAATCTACACTGGAAAAAAATGGTGTAGAAACAACTTTCCCCCAAATATTGCTAGTAAATCTCAGAAACAATTACAAAGAAACAGTGAGTAGCCTAATACTCTGCATTAAACAATCATAAAATGCTTGGCTATTTTCTCGTTAGACGCAGTTCAATCTTTGTTTTAGGCTATTTACTAGCCTACTCAGTAAAATAATTTGCAGTGTACCTTTATTATAGGCTACAGTTTAGAACCAATATTTAAAACTGCTTTTGAAAACGCATTTGTGTGACTAGACCACAGCCTTACACAATTTCAGCGTGTGACAACAAGCCCCGGTCACCCCTACAAAGGGCGGAATCCACAGGCTTAAATTTGACACAAAGCACAATTGCAAGTCATTTAACAATGGGGAGCACAAGCTACTATTTATCCTTCATCTCCGGGATCAGAGGACACACATTAGACTGATTTCCAGCATGGACACTGCGGGACATGACAGGAGCTCAGCGGGTGTGTGACTAAAAATTAACCCACTTCTCTGAACAAAAGTGTCTGTCCTGAACCCTCCTCTGATCCTCTCATTCACCGCTCACATCACATATCACCGGGAAACGAGGTGCTAACCTGTCCATCGGTAACTATTATCTGCGGGTGTTAAGAGCAGCCGTTCCCTCTGAGCTGCACCTGTGCTCGGATCGGATTGTTCCGCAGACGCGGGTCAAGCCAGCAGCTCTGCCCTAAAACCCCTCACACATTCCCACAGCACTGCCATTCCCTTCATAAACACCGCAACAAACAACAGAGCGTGCAGAGGAGGCGGTCTTCTCTTGTTGTGAACACACCAGAAAGATGCTGTTGTGTAGTATTGAAAATCGGTCTCGTTGAATCTAACACTGTTTTATGATAAAGACACTAACAGTAGGCTATCTAGCATTTTTTATATATTTACTATGTATTATAGTTATCATAGATAGATAGATAGATAGACAACAGTAAAAATGCAACAACAAAAAAAATCCAGCTGTGTGTGTGTGTGTGTGTGTGTGTGTGTGTGTTTGAAACGTATGATTGCTGCTATGCATTATGAGACACTGAGTAGAGAAATATGTCTTGCATAGCTGTGATTCATGTAAAATAAACAAGGTAAATGCTGAACTATTAGTAAATAGACAAACATTTCTATATATTATATAAATGATTTTAGAGATAAAAGGCTTTAAAAGAATAATATACTTCTTAAAAGAAGAAAAAAAAAAGAATAATATATTTCTTATTTTGCCCAGTTATTGCACAAATAACACATAATTTAAAAAAAACTATAAATATGAATACTATTTTAATATTTGACTAATTATAATATTTTACTGTAAGAAACAGTACAGTACATAGACTACAGTTCAAATTGTTGGTGATATTTTTGAAAATATTTTTAAAGGAATGCTCACGAAGGCTGCATTTATTTGATCAGAAATACAACAACAACTGTAATGTTGTGAAATATTGCAATTTATTTTAAAATATAATTTATTTCTGTGATCAAAGCTGAATTTTCAGCATCATTACTCCAGTCTTCAGTGTCACATGATCTTCAGAAATCATTCTAATATGCTGATTTGCTGCTCAAGAAACATTTCTGATTATTATCAATGTTTAAAACCGTTTAATATTTAAGGTTTGATGAGTAGAGGGTTCAAACGCATCTAACATGTTTTTTTTATATAAATCTTTTGTAATGTTATTAAAGTCTTTACTGTCAATTTTGATCAATTTAATGCATTCTTGCTGAATAAAAATATTAATTTTTTTAAACAAAAAATCTACCCAAACTTTTGAATGGCATGTCAATTATAAGGCAATTCATTCTTTTTAACTTCCAAAAAGCATGTTTACAGTATTTCACAATAAAACGGCATGTCTTCCTGAATCTATCATTATTTTTAATTAATTGTTAATTTCAACCAGTACTTTTACTGTATTTATACAGGCTTTATACAGGCTGTAACGGGGGAAGGGTGTGTGGGGTGTTAAAGAGGAGCTGCTGGTCTTCAGATCCCCCGCCTGACACAGCATGAGCAAGATAAGGTACTGTATAAGACCCCCTCTGGAATTTAAGCTGAAACATATGGTGAATTTCACTTAACAACCTTTGTCTACCTTGATGAACTGTCTGTTAAGACTCTGCTGTTCCTCGGGACTCGACCTCAATCAAAACACGAGCAACTCTAAAAAATCTACCCAAACTTTTGAATGGCATGTCAATTATAAGGCAATTCATTCTTTTTAACTTCCAAAAAGCATGTTTACAGTATTTCACAATAAAACGGCATGTCTTCCTGAATCTATCATTATTTTTAATTAATTGTTAATTTCAACCAGTACTTTTACTGTATTTATACAGGCTTTATACAGGCTGTAACGGGGGAAGGGTGTGTGGGGTGTTAAAGAGGAGCTGCTGGTCTTCAGATCCCCCGCCTGACACAGCATGAGCAAGATAAGGTACTGTATAAGACCCCCTCTGGAATTTAAGCTGAAACATATGGTGAATTTCACTTAACAACCTTTGTCTACCTTGATGACCTGTCTGTTAAGACTCTGCTGTTCCTCGGGACTCGACCTCAATCAAAACACGAGCGACTCTAAAGCAAACAAACCGGCGTCCTCAGATGACCGGCTGAGGCTGGATGCTGGGTGACGCTCACCATGTGTGAAAATAACCACAGATGTCGAAGAAAACACACTGCCTTGACAAGAATAATTACGAAACTAAATTTCCAAAGAGTGTTTTAGACCAAAGAAAGGGTAAACATTTGATTAGTACGTTATCTTTTTTTAGATGGTGCCTTTTAGGCGGCTTATGAAAATGTGAACAACACTCATAAAAGGTCTTTGGAATGGCATTGTGAATTAGTAAGTAGCATTTTGTCTCATTTAACGATTTGTACATAGACATGACACAGTTATGGACCTTTTTTGTTTTTAAGTCAAGTATCACTGGCGCTATGTTGGATGCTTTCTTCTCAGAACTTAAATCTATATTTACTTTTCAGTTTGGGAACATCAAAATGTCCATCTGCATGTCCTTCAAGTATGATGTTCAAATAGTGTGCTGTAGGCTGTCATTAACATTTTTGGGGTTTGATGTCAACACCTCAGATATCTATCTATCTTTGTGTGAGGTGAAAGGCACAGGTTCACACCTTAAGGGTGTTTTACGCAAAGAGGTCTGTCCGTTAGCATTCCCATTCATCTCAGAGACACTTTCCTGGCTCGTACGGGACGTGCATAATTTGAAAGGCTTTGCTTATGGGACAGAATATTTCGAGCCAAACGCCTGAGCTGTAAATTAAAGATGACAAATCAATGCAGTAGTAATGAGCTGAGGTAATGGGTCACATGACAACGAGTAATAGCACAACAAGAACACACACAGTCCCCAAAACAACCCTCACTAGTGACCATCACAAGCTGTGACGTCAAAAACAGCAGACGGGGAAAAATATAAGTGCACAGAAAAATGTTTGTAATTAATATGGTGTATGCGAGTATATATTCTGTTAGAATATGTGACTACTTTTGAATGTCCATCAAAGGACAGAGAAAATGATGATACTGAAGGGGCTAATACAGGCATGCTAACCAGCCAACCCTTGACTTCTTGGTTGGACATCATAAATGTCCATGAGTCTCTCTGCCTCTTTCTGACACTGCCATCTACAGGAGAACAGCCAAACTGCTGTCGTATAATCCTTACCGTTTGGGCATTTATCACCTTTGTACCATTGCATTGTTTTAATTGTTATGCAAATGACAACCTATCAAATAAATTAATTGAGACTTTAAAAACAGGGTCATTTACTCAAAGGCTATTTGGCCTTTAGCAGAGTTAATTAATTGCTGGTTAATTCAAATGTAATTTTAAAACACTTCAGACGCTTCCTTTTGAATACAGACAGCTTATTTAAATACTGAGTGAATGAAATAGGCAATTTACCCAAAGTGATCATGATCAAAACAAGCAGCAATAAATAAAGCTGTGCTGTCAAACGATTAATCGCATTCAAAATAAAAGTTCTTGTTTAGTATACTGTGTGTATATATATATATATTATGTATACATAAATACAGACACATGCATGTATATATTTAAGCAAAATATGTTACTTTTATACACATTTATATATGATATAAATTATATGAATATAAATATACATGTAAATATTTTCCAAATGCTGTGTGTGTATTTATATATGCATAATAAATATACACAATACACACGCATATATTATGTAAACAAAAACTTTTATTTTGGATGCGATTAATCGCGATTAATCATTTGACAGCACTAAAATAAAGGTATGTGTTCCAAATATACTGAAATAGGGCCTAATATTTATCTGTTTGAAATCTTCTACTTAT